TAGTTTCAATAATATAATGACATTTTAGGAGAGGTTACAAACGTAATTCAAAAATAGTCCTAAAATTCTAAAGCAGGACCTCGTAAAGTCAAGTTAGCCCCTCCTTTTAATTTTTTTTTTTTTTTTTTGGACAGAGGAAATGGTTAGAAGTTAGGTTAGTATTTGCTTTTGACAAGGTTCGAACGGTGCAATCCACCGACAGCCCTGTTGAGCTGCAGTGGCCACCAATGAGACACAACAAGATAATGCCTTTTTAACTCAAATTTGACAAACTGCAATATCATCTTTTAAAAATTAATCTGAAAAAGTAAGAACAACTGATGAAATCAGAATTTACTTAACAATTAAATTTAAAGGGTAAATTTAAAGGGGATCTAGACTTGAATGATTCGTTTTCGATTCAGTGAAATTGGATTCTGTAAGGATAGGTCCGAGGTGCTTAACCTCGGACATGCAACAGTAATTCTTTTGTAACCGAAGTAAAGGATAAATCCAAAGCTTCCCACTCAAACAGCTGCATAACAGTGACAGTAAACATGCCCGCACCTGATATTTTACGATGAGCTGTATAGCAATTAGGATGGACATTCCTGTATCCGAATATCTCTCAAATTCCCGGTCCCGAAATAACTGTCTGGATAGACACGTCAGGTTCTGATTGTCTTGCTTAGCATGCCACGTGAATTCCTCACTGGAGCATATATATACCCCCCAGAGGCCACGTCAAAAGGTAATTGGAACCAACCCTAAGCTCTTTTTATCTCCATCCTAAAGGTAGCACCGATTATTGCTGACTTAAGCATCGGAGTGTCTACCCCGAGATCCATGTCGGGGCTTTGCAGGTTCATCCGAAGCGAAGACGTGGACTGAAGAAGGACTTCTGGTTTGGTGCAATTACATTGGCGCCGTCTGTGGGAATCCGAACTAAAAGCTTTCTTGTTGCTCTTTCATCATGGTTAATATTCGATCAGTCCGAGCTGGAAATCCATCTCTGCCTTTTGGACAACCTCAACTCCCAACTCAGCTTCCACCTCGACTCCCACCTCAGATCCCAAATATATTCCTTCATGTTGATCATGCAGAAGGAGGAGATGAAAACCAACCTCATACCTCAGCTCATAACTCAACTTCCACCGCTAATCAGGATGTAGTTGCAGCTCAGCTTGCTGCTATGCAACAACAATTTGGTGTGTTTCAGCTGGTATTGGCTCAGCTATTAGCCCGGAACAACCCTGGTGATCCCCTCATTAATTTACTCAACCCTGCTCAACAACCCCCAGCTCCACAACAAAACCCTCAACCAGTTCAGCATGCCCCTACTCTTAGTGAATCTCAAGGTCAATCTCACATAGCACCAGCTCAACAACCCCTCCCTGATGATGTCACTCGACGTCTGGACAGTTTAGAAAAGTTGGTAGCTGAACAGAGAGGTGCCCCACCTCTACACCATACTACTGATTCAGTGCCCCATCCTCTGAACACCAACATCACACTAGAACCCTACCCCACTGGCTTCAGAATTCCACAACTTGAGACTTATGATAGGACGAAGGATCCCGATGACCACCTACATGCTTTCTACTCTTGTATGCAAGCCTAGAACGCCTCTGACGCGTTGATGTGCAAAATCTTTCCCTCTACTCTCCGAGGTAATGCTCAAACTTGGTATTACAGTCTACCTCCCAGGTTAATCAGTTCTTATATAGAGATGGCATCTGCCTTTGTCACAAAGTTTTCCAGTAGAAGGTTGATCAGGAAAACTACTTCTGAGTTGATGCGAGTTTAACAGAGAGATGGAGAATCTCTGAAGAATTTTATGACCAAATTCAATGATGCGGTACTGGAGGTGAGCTCTTTCGACCAAGCTATGGGAATTGCAGCTGTAATATCATGTCTTAAACATGACAGATTCAGAGATAGTTTGATCAAACATCCTGCCAATACCTTTAGCGAGGTGAATGATAGGTCTCTGAAATTTATAACTGTTGAGGAATATACACTATCGCAGAACCCAACTCCCCCTAAGAACCAAAACCAAGACTAGAGAGATGAAAATCCGAGCAGGAAACGGATAAGAGTAGCACAGAACCGAGGTCCGATGCCGACCTCTGCACCGAGATTCGGAAGGCCGAACTCAGCACCCCCGCAACAATCTGCAGGTAAACCTCCGATTAATTGGACTCCCTTTAACTTGCCAAGGTCACAGATTTTCATGCAAATCAAGAATAAGATGGATTTAAGGCGTCCTGACCCGATGAGAATTGCTGCTGCTATCCGAGACCATTCTCGATATTGTGATTTTCATCAATATCATGGTTATACAACAGAACAGTGCAACAGTTTGAGGTCCGAGCTGGAAAGCCTTGCTCAGAAGGGAATGCTGAATGAGTACATTCACAGAGCTCCGCAGCCGAGATTTGTCAGAGAACAGGGGACACAGCCCCAAGGAAACCGCAATCCACCAAATAGGCAAGGAGTAGGGCATCAACAAGCCCCACCTCCACTTCCACCACCAGCTAGAATTATACACATGATTACGGGAGGCCTGGAAGCAGGTGGACTGAGCTTTAAACAGAGAAAGCTGTATGTTAGAGAGGTGAAACATCAAAACCGAGCTCAGAAACGGAAGTTTGACGATGCTGAGTGGAAAAATCAACCTATTACATTCACATCTGCTGATTTTGACACAGTTGTCACACCTCACAATGATCCTCTAGTCACTTCTGTCATGATTAACAATTGTAAGGTACAACGTGTCCTTGTTGACACAGGGAGTGCACCAGACATTATGTACTTCCATTGCTTTGAAAGTCTAAGGTTGGATCCAACTTTATTGCAACGGTATGATGGTCCCATTTATGGATTCAACAACCAATCAATTCCAGTTGAAGGGGTCCTAACACTGAATGTTACATTTGGGAGTGGCCGGAATTATGTGACTCCTTCAGTTCGGTTTCTGGTGGTTAAGATGCCTTCTTCCTTCAACGTTGTTATTGGTCGACCTACATTAACTGAAATCCGAGCTGTGGTCTCCCAATCTCAACTATGCATGAAGTTCCCAACTCCCATGGGAATAGCAACATTGCGAGGCAATCAAGAGGTGGCCAGACATTGCTATATCACCTCGGTCACACGACCTTAGAAGGACAAGGATTAGACACCTGAGACAAATCCTCAACAGATTCTGGATAATCAGCAAGTTATGGGTGTTGAAATAGTAGATAATCGACCGGACAATGAAACTAGGGCTGCTCCAGTCGAAGATGTTGAGGAAGTGCCCATTGACGACAGAGATCCAAATCGGAAGACGCAAATTGCAACTCGGCTGAGCACAGAGGAAAGAGCAGAGCTAATAGCTTTTCTCCGTGCTAACAATGATGTCTTCGCTTGGACTTCAGCAGATATGCCAGGAATCCCACCCTCAGTATCCCAACATAAGCTCAGCACCAATCCGTTGAAGAGGCCAGTATCTCAGAAGTGACGTCTATTCGGGGGTGAAAGACTTCAGGCCATAAAGGAAGAAGTAGAGAAACTTTTGCAAGCTGGTTTTGTCAGAAAAGTCGACTATTGTGAATGGGTGGCTAACCCAGTGCTGGTGACAAAAGCAAATGGTAAATGGCAAATGTGCATTGACTACACAAACCTTAACCAAGCCTGCCCCAAGGATTGCTACCCAATGCCGAGCATTGATAAACTGGTTGAAGCAGCTTCTGGAAACGAGAGACTAAGTCTCTTGGATGCATATTCTGAATACCATCAGGTTCCAATGGCTCTTGAGGATGAAGAGAAAACCTCGTTCTACGCCGGCGATGAAATCTATTGCTATGTGATGATGCCCTTCGGCTTGAAGAATGCAGGTGCTACTTACCAGAAGATGGTTACCATCGTATTTCGAGCTCAAATAGGCCAGAATCTGGAAGTCTATGTTGATGATATAGTGGTAAAGAGCTTGAAAGCTGAAGATCACCTAGCTGACCTCGAGGAGACATTCAACAATCTCAAGAAGAACAGGATGAGGTTGAATCCAGCAAAGTGCATCTTTGGCATCGAGTCTGGAAAATTTCTAGGCTTCATGATTTCCTGGAGAGGGATTGAGGTCAATCTAGAAAAGATCAGAGCAATTACTGAGATGGAACCGCCAAAGTCAGTGAAAGATATACAGAGGTTGACTAGAAGAGTGGCAGCTCTTCATAGATTCATCTCGAAGTTGGCTGATAAATGCTTACCCTTCTTCAAGATCATGAGATCAACAGCTCAGAAGGATGAATCTGGTAAAAAGAAGAAGTTTGAATGGAATCAAGAATGCCAAGCTGCGTTCGAAGAGCTGAAGTCTTATCTTAGCTCACCACCTCTACTGACCAAGGCTATAGATGGAGAGATCCTCTATCTGTATCTGGGAATTTTAGACGAAGCCATTAGTTCGGTCCTAGTGAGAGAAGAAGCGAAACAACAGAAACCAATCTATTACATCAGCAGTGTGCTACATGGTGCAGAGTTGAGATATCCTATTGCTGAGAAAGCAGCTTTAGCAGTCGTCACTTCAGCCAGGAAGCTAAGGCCATATTTTCAGTCACACCCAATCATCGTCCTCACAGACCAACCTCTTTGACAGATTCTACAGAAGCCAGAATGTTTCGGGAGATTAATTAAATGGGCAGTAGAACTGGGAGAATTCGAGATAACTTTTCAGCATAGATCAGCTATCCGAGCTCAAGCACTGGCGGATTTTATTGTAGAATGCACTCCATGCCATTCAACCCTTAATCCAAAGCCCAACGACTGGACCTTATATGTTGATGGGGCATCTAGTAGCAAAGGTTCAAGAGCTGGTGCTCTTTTGATTGGCCCAGATGGATACCGAAGTGAGCATGCTCTGAAGTTTAACTTCGATACAACAAATAACATGGCTGAGTATGAAGCTCTGATACTTGGTCTACAGTTAGCACTAGAATTGAAAGTCAAAGTGATCCAAGTGTACAGTGACTCCCAGCTGGTGGTTAATCAAATCAACCCAATCTGTGAAGTTGTAGATCCTGTGATGATGAAATATGCACCCTTAGTGGCAGACTTGAAGTGCAAGTTCCAGAAATTCTGTTTGAGCAAAATTCCCCGAACTGAGAATGAACAGGCAGATTCACTCTCTAAGTTTGCCTCTGACAGCTCTTTAAGTTCCAGATCAGTTTTTGTGGAGGTTTTAGATGAACCAAGCTTCATGAAGCCACGGATGATGGAGATCAGCACAGACCCAGACACACCGAGCTGGACTGACTCGATTATATCCTTTTTACAAGACGGGATATTACCTGAAGACAAGAAAGAGGCAATGAGGTTGAGGAAGAAAGCATCTCGGTATACACTTGTTGAGGGGGTCCTTTATAAGAGATCTTTCTCACTCCCTCTTTTACGATGCCTGAACCCTTATGAAGCAGAATACGCACTTCGGGAGGTACATGAAGGTATCTACGGGAGGTACATGAAGGTATCTACGGGAGCCATGTCGGTGCTAGAACCTTGGCTCACAAAGTCTTATGACATGGGTATTATTGGCCGAACATGTATAAAGATGCCACTCACTTTGTCCAGAAATACCCGAAGTGTCAATTCTTTGCACATTTGACTCACCAACCAGCGAAAGAGCTCACGAACTTAGTAGCACCATGGCCGTTTGCTCAATGGGGATTAGATCTCTTGGGCCCATTTGTGAAAGGGGTTGGCGGTGTGACCCATTTGATTGTTGGAGTTGATTATTTTACAAAATGGGTTCAAGCTCGGCTATTATCCAATCTTACCTCTAAGAAGATCGAAGACTTTGTTTTCAGCTCGATCATCTGTAGATATGGGATCCCAAATCAGATTGTGGCTGACAATGGAACTCAGTTCAACTGCTCCTCATTCCGAGATTTTTGTTCCAGTTATGGGATCAAGTTGCAGTTCACCTCGGTTTACCATCCGGAGTCCAATGGTATGGTGGAATCTGTTAATAAATGCATTCTAGAAGGAATAAAGCCGAGGCTGGACCAGCACAAGGCCAAGTGGGCAGATGAACTCAACAACGTCCTTTAGGCATACAGAACAACGAGCAGAACTGCCACAGCTACTATTTTCAAACCAAATTCCTTTCGTTTTATTCTTATTCTACATTACTTTCTCACTTGCGAGTATACCTTAGATCAAATATGCATAATATGTAAAGCATATTCTAAAGAATATAATTTCATGAAATAGGTGAAACACTCTACCACCTGGCCTTTGGTACCGAAGCAGTCATTCCTATTGAGATAGGAGTCCCAAGCTTTCGGGTCACCCATTTCGATGAAGGACGAAATGGACAACTGCTTCGAGAAAACCTTGATATGCTTGATGAAGTCAGAGAAGAAGCACGGCTTCGAACTCTTGTATACAAGTAGAAATTAGCCAATTTCTACAATAAACGAGTCCACCCTCGAACATTCAAAGTAGGAGACCTTGTCCTCAGGAAAGCTGGCCTAATAGGGTTCGAAACTCGTTTTGGCAAACTGGCCCCGAATTGGGAAGGCCCTTACACTATAGCCGAAGTGCCGCACCCAGGTGCTTATATCTTACAGGACACTGAAGGAAAGAGAGTTCCTAGAGTCTGGAATGTCAATAACTTGAAGAAATTTTACCCCTAATAAACTTCTTGGTTAAATGCTAAATTTAGTCCCTCAACTTTACAAAATGAACATTTTTGGTCCCTTAACAATTTTTTGCATTTTTTTGATCCCTTAACTCTAAAAATTGCACAGTTTTGGTCCCTCCGTCAGTTAAGTATGAGGTGGCAGTTAAATAATTTTACGTGGCATTGTTTTTTAATTTTTTTGATGATGTGGCACTAATATATATTATA